AATGTTTCTCCACTGAACCATTGAAAAAGGCACAAAAAGTTCATTTTTGAAAACCAACTAAATCCCATAGTTCATTTTTGAAACCAACTAAATCCACAGCCTTGAAGACCCAGAGGGCAAATAGTCAAGCAAGGAGAAGAGAAAATGATAAATTTCACCTTCCAGCTGGAACCACTGATTTTACTTCCCCTCACTAGCCTATTTGCCTGTAGGTCTCTCATGATGGTGTCCCTGATGGCTAGTAGTGTTAACTGTCTGTTTCCACCAAATTGTTATAACTGCAAAACTTAAAATCCATGGATGTGCCCCATTTTGGCAATGTTGAAACACATAATGCTTTCTGGAAGAAAATGGCTGGTCACCAAGGGGAAATCTTAACTTTGGACCATAAACACTAAGAAACATTACAGTGCTTTCTTCATGTCTACCAAACACAGGTTGTCAAATAGGTCACCCTTGCTGCAAATCTAGTCCTAAGGAATTCTTTTTAATACAATTAATGGCAACCAAAATGGTTACAGTTTGCGACACTTAGTCACCCTTCAGCTCTGCCCACCTTTCAAATTTTAAAATTGTACTGACATACTGAAATCAGCACAAGTTACAAGTATTTCTCTTTGATTAACTGTTTACACAGAGCCTTGAAATAATCAAACAGATTTGAAGAGCTATGACAAGGCGATCTGGAATCAGCAGTGTACTTTTATATAATAAAAACAAAAATCATCAAACAGCAAAATTGTAAACTGGAGTTGAGCTGGTTTATTGTTGAACTGTACAAGTGATACAATTTATGTCTCCTGCATTTCCCTGAGACGGCGCACAGCACTTCTCACTGTCACAGCAGCTGTGGTGCTAATATGAAAGAGAAAGAAGCTGTCAACAATAATCATCAGAAAACAAAGAGAGGTTTATATATGAAAACAGTTCAGGACAAAAGAACTCTTTGGATGAGCAATATCACCATAATTCCCTTTATATGGAGAGCTTTAACACAAGAAAAATGTATCCCCTTATAATTCTATACTTGGCAGGCCCTACAAACTTTGATGTTACATTACTTTTATAGGTCTGTGATATGCATAGATAGTACTAACATGACAAAATTAAGTCTAATTGACCATTCATTTCTGGACAAAATCAAAGTGAAATTTGTACAAAGCAGACACCAATCAGACCTTTACTTGAGTCTGCTTGATGCAGAAAGTCTGTTTAGTTCAGGGGTCTGCTCAATGCAAATTTTACTGTGGTGGATGGAGGAGTGTGGAGAAAAGCTCGTCTTGACAGTCCAGTAATTCAAAGTCCACCATTTTTAAGGAATCATTTTGGCAGTTGGTAACAATGGGTATTCTCTCTCACCTGACAACCCACGCTCCTCCAGCAACAGTTTTTCCACACCCCTTACAATGCCAGATCCCCACACATTGCCTTTTCAAAGCTTCCTGGAAAAAGAAAAAAGATGCAGAAAGATGTTAACATATGTGAAAAAATGCAAGTACCCCAAAAAATCGAAGTCCCTTGAGAAAGCTTCAACCTCAGCTAATTCTGATTTTATGAGTGAAAGCTGATGAGGTACAAATAAGTTGTCACAAGTGAGGTTGTACACCTGACTCCTGTTGTTTGAAGGGTAGTTTATACTATTCAATGGATAAATCTCTATCCAGTGCAGAGTTAAGTAAGTTGTATTGACAGTTCTCAGCTGGATAGCAATCTATCCATCCTTTGAACAACTGGGTCCTGGTACATGTGTCATACATCCTGCCTACTGTCAGGTCATCAATAATAACATCACTCTTTGCAGGCATAGAGTGAGAAATATGGTTTCTAAATGTGGCTATGCAACTCTAACAGCACTGTTCGTCACCTGTTATGCGGTGATTTCACTTTGACCACAAAGTGGGTCGAGAGAGTAAACATTAACGACATTGACATGCATTCGACTTTGTTGTGGTGTTCCTTGGGTTGACATTTTTCATGTGCGTAATCAAATGCTTATTAGTAATAAATATTGCAACAGAAGGCGAAACATTTGATCCAATTACAGACAAATACAAAACGCTTTAGTATGGAGCAAGGCCTTGAATATCGAATGATCGCAAAGTTTCTAAATTTAAATGTCTAATCAGCAAAAGGCAATACAGTTTGTGAGAGTTCTTACACCAATTACCACATTTCCATTTTCTTTGGTAGCCAGACTTACTTTTCCGCAGAAGACACATGTGTACTTCGAGTGCTGCGTGATTTCCATTTTCTTAACCATTTTTCGAAGTGAGGCACCGTAACGAGTACCATACTTTCCTACGACTCCGACCTTCTTGGTTCTCTTTGCCTGGAGAGACAAGGGAAACAAGTCGTTGAAATTACAAAATACCCAAAACTATATACATAGCTAACACAAACAGCAACTTTGCTTTCATAGGGAACTATTTAATACTCTAGATGGCCACTCATTCATGAAATAATCCAGAGATTTTTACCCACCATTTCGATCAGAATCTGGAAACTAAGTAGAGGAGAGAAAGAGAACCATCCGGGAATTTGGCTTATGATTTATAGTTGAACTTTGGCAGCGGTTTTACTGGTACTTCACTTAGGAACAGTTGAAATTATTTGGCGCGAGGTACAAATGTGGCGCGGAAATTCACGAATTGAAGTTTTCGGAAAATGAGTAAGAAATCTGAAGAGGAAGGTACATTAAAACTAACTGGATGTACAATCTTTCTTTTTCTTTATAAATTTTTGTTCCAAGTTTGAAATTTATGTTCCTTGTGGATTACAGCGTCTCAAGCGGTGCTGGCGTATCTCACCAAACAGAATAGACCATATAGCGCAGGTATGCAATATGATTATCTCGCCTGTAATATAAAGTATAGCACTACTTTTTCTCTGTTTTACACCTACTATTTGTATGCAATATATTAACAACGCGTCTAGACGTTGAATTTCATTGTCAAACTTATCTACCTATATGTGTTTTCTTTGCAGTTGATATTTTCTCGAATCTGCACAAAGAGTATGGAAAAACGGTAAATAGACCCGCACTAACGGGCAAAGGGTTACAAATGAGATTTTCCCTCTATTTCCTCCAAAATAACTGTTCTAAAATGAAATTTAAAACAAACTAACAATCACACATGTTGTATGAAAGGAAGCACCGTACTTAATTGATTTCTGGTGATTTGTATATCATTGTTACTGTTTTTGATAGGCAGTGCAGAAAAGTCTAGAAAAACTTGCCTGTGAAGGCATTATCACTGAAAAGATCAATGGGAAGCAGAAGGCATATGCACCTAAACAGGTAACATAATTACATTTATCTGAAAGACTTACAAAATTGAGAATTATTCCTGGTTTCCTAGGGAGTCTAAGAGCCAACCATATGACATGCGTTGTCTACAGTAGTGCTATTTAACAATTATTCCACAAGCACGCGTTGGATATGAGATGATAGATAGCCAACGAGGTGCATAGCGCCTCGTTGGCTACAATCATCTCATATCTAACAAGCGCGAGAAGAATAATTGTTTTATTAAAACCATTAAATTAAATTATTAAAATTTATTAAGTTTTTAGCTCCCTTTTAATTTTAAGCTGACACGTACGCTTACCATATTTGTAGATTATGGTATATTGGCTGATATACCATAATGGCTAAGCCAATAAAAAGTCTTGAATTGCATTATCCAATGATCTAGTTTTTAATAATACTGTTTATAAATAACTGAGAAACTATGAGCACCCTGATTGGTCAAAAACCTATAGTTTATTGCATTGGCAAACCCATGAAACATGTGGTGTTTTGTTTTAAGTTCATTTTGAGGAGTAACAGACTCCACTTTCTCTCTTGGTTTAGTGGCATAATAACCCAATTGAGATGTTAAGAAAACATTAGAAAAGTTTGTAAATCACTGGCTGCCAGCTCGCAATCTACACAATTTTCTCTCATTCTCCCTACATCCCTCCTGGGTTAATACACTGGTAAACCAAGAGAAAGTGTGGTCTATTGCTTAAAGGTTAAATGATAAGTAACATTCTGGAAATCATTATTTGGTTGCCATTGTCTACAGGACCAGTTTGGAGACTACGATGAGAATGAGATCAAGAAAATTGACACACAAATCAGTACCTGCACAGAAAAGTTGAAGAAGTTACAGGAGACTTTAAAAACTCAAGAGTCAGGTAATGATAAGGATTTCTTCTTATTTTGTCTTCAGAATATTCATGAGAAATAACTAATGACTATAATAAAAAAGGGTAACAAAAGCAACCTCCAACAAACTGCAGTCCTTTGTCAATAAATGCTTACAGTCCATCATGGACATACATTGGCCTGAGGTCATAAGGAATGAAGATTTGTGGGCAAGACCTGAACAGGAATGAATTGACATCCAGATTAGAAGGCGCAAATGGGGTTGGCTAGGGCACACCCTTAGAAAACCGAACAGCAATGTTACAAGGCATGCACTGATGTGGAACCCACAGGGGAAGAGAAAACAAGGGTGGCAGTTGCATTAACTTAACCTTTTAACCCATAAGAGTGACTAGCATCTAATTTCTCCTTAAATCGTCAACCCTGAAGCAAAAAAATTGAGGTTCTGCAAATGATGGAAGTGATCATCAACTAAAGTACCTCTGGATTGTTACGCAAATTCTCCTTTTCCACATCTTAGGAGATGAAAGGAGAACAGTATGGAGAAATTATATGCATAAATTATATGCTGATGTTAGGGTGTAAAGGGTTAATGGAACTGTGTCATGGCAGAGTGGTTACAAAGAAAGGAACCTACAGGGAAATAACTGTCTAAATGTCAAAATCAAAGCTTCAAAACAAGCAGAAATGTCTTGCAGGTTTTCAATCAAATTAACTGTTTCCCTTCAGTTCAAACGGGTAGTAACCTTCTTCAATTTTGTCCATTCATGACCCCCTTCATCTTCCCTAAATGTTGGCTACGGATAAATGTCCGATGATTCAGAATCTGGCAATGTAGGCAGCATTTTTTATTTTATATCTTACTGTGTTTTGCTGTGATTTTTAGGACATAAATCAAACATTTACTTTGTTACTCTGTACCTTTTAGAACTGCGCAATGTGAACAGCACACTTACAACTAAAGATGCAAAGGCCAGACTATCGGAGCTGACCCAAAAGGTATTAATTTACATGCTGCAGTCAAACGCAAATCTGTAGCTCAAATGCTATCTTAAGGTAGTTCTACATCTATTTTTTGGTATCTTACTCAAATTATTGTAAATTGTTTTTATAATAATCTTTTGTTGTTATTGTTTTTGTTAATGACTGCCTTGAACTAGATTCACTTTAATTTTTCATCCTGCTCAGGAGTAGTAGTAGTGGATGAGAACAAAAGATTCATTGTTCACCCCCCTCCCCCCCCCCTTTTTTTTTTTTTGGCAGTGTGACAAATACCAGGAGAGACTCAAGAATATTAAGTCTGGTGAGTCAAATGTTTCTAATTGCATACAGATATATGATAATGAGGTCTTTACCTCCAGATAATTAAAAACTGTTAATCTTTTTTAGCAACAAAGCATGTTACTCCAGAGGAAAAAGATAAGGTAAGGATTTCATAAAACCTCAGGGTAGTTTTGTGGTTTTTCTTTTAAATGAAACCATAATGTTTGTTCTTTTCTTTCTTTCTTTATTTATCATTTTAATGTAATATCATGTTCTTTTTTAAAGATCTATAAGGAACACAAGCAATGTGTCCAGATGTGGAAAAAGAGGAAACGATTGGTATGGTAATTTTCTTTGTTAACTTGAATGGATTGGGTATAAGTTGTTGTTGAAGAAAATAGTCCCTTTTTCTTGGAGATTCAAGTTCATTCCTTGCACTTACAACAGTCAAATGGCCATTATTTCCAATTATGTCAAACTAAAACTTTAAACTATCAACTTTTATATGTTTGGTAATTTATTTCTCCAGGCAACTGACATTTTAAATGGAATTTTGGAAGGCTATCCCAAATCCAAGAAACAGCTTATTGTAAGTTGAGTTATTATTATAATAATTATTACATTTTTTTGTAGATATTTTCAAGCTATTTTTTTGCATTTAATCATTTATGTTTTGGATTGCCCCTTTGGGTATATAAACTTACCAGCCTCTGTAAGCCACTTCAACACAACTTTAATACTGCAATGCACTCTGGGTACATACACAATAATTATGGCCTACAGGGTACTCAATATATTACAGTTGTCCAACAGACATTTTGCAAATTTTAAAAGAATTAATATTAATGTTCATGTTTGAGAACTGATTACAATATAAGAGAAAAGAAAAAATTTAGCATTACTAAATAGGAAAAACTATTATTAACTTACCAGCCTCTGTAAGTGATGGGTAGTCTAGTAACTGCAAGGCAAGGTTAACCCTTTACATCCTTAACATCAGTATGTATATTCTCCACATTGTTCTCCATACATTACCCAAGGGGCTGACAAGGAGAATTTGTTTCACAATCAAGAGGTTCTTTAAGTTGGTGATCAATTCTTTTATTCTTGTGGGTGATATTGTAAGGAGAAATTAGATGCTAGTCACTCCTAAGGCAGGGTTCTCAAGAGAATTTTGTACAGCCGTTGCTGTGCCACCTCCATGCATAACAGCTAAGTACATAGTCAAAGGCCATTTATCTTAGGCCCGTAGGGAAGACGACATCTTGGAGAGGCCTGGGCTAGAATCTACAACATTGCGGAGAAGTGATGAAGCATAGCGATTATTCACTGACGACAGGCTATTCATTTCAAAAACTAAAACCGACTAACATTCAATACTAAACTCAATTATCTCTGCACAAAGGTGTTCTTTAATTTGCATTTAATAGGTGTTGATCTACTAGTCGAAGCGCTTTGACAGCCGTAACACTTACCAGTGACACCTGTGACAGGTGTTACAGGTTACGGGTTCAATTGAAAAGCCTGTAAGGGGTGAAAGTTTGGGGGGGGGTGCAATTATTAGAGGGGGGGTGGTTATTGGAGCAATGGCGCTAAATTGGAATGTAGGAAAACCCAACCAGAATTTATCTTGCTTTTATTTACATGCTTTGTAGGAGGACATTGGTATTGAAACAGATGAAGAATATGGTGCAGTAATCCCAGGCTGTTGAGGCATTTTCTGTTCTTATTAATATACTTTATATTCAGATGGCAGTCTGTGTCAAAGTGATGAATATATTTAGCCAGTGTGTATTTTCTTCTGATGCTTTTCCTCACATAGTCGCTGATTATATAAATCATTTTGGGCAGGATATTATCAAATGGAATCTAGCATCATCAAGGATATGGTGCAGCAGTAACAGTTTATTTTAAAAAAGAAAACAAAAAGAACAGAAATCTTGACACAATGCTCCTTTATAAATACCTTTTAATTATCAATAGGTCATTGTGATCATTGTTAATAAAGTGTTGATAACTACATTGATGTGAAATTTTTTTTTTCACGAATTACTCCCTGTTCAATATGATTTGTTCTGTCTTTTACTCCCAGAACATTTGTAATCATTATCTTGGGAGCGGATAGGTATGCATAATGTGTAATATCATGTATACCTGTACACCACAAAAAATAAAGGATTTGTGTCAATTATATACCAAACAAATACGAAAAATTCCAATATCCTTTCCAATTTGCCAAAAATATATTTAATAATGCCATTTCATTAACACATTTTGCCTTTTAAATAATTTGTGCAAACAATCCACAGTCAACCTTTTAAATTATATATTTATTGTGCAAAACTACTCCTGGAAATACAGGAAATAACATAGATGGTGATATTATAATTTATTTGTCTGATAATTAAAGGTCCAGATGTCAGTTTGTTGAATTTTTTACTTAGTTTGTCTCCCAGACATAATCCAACATCTTCATGACATTTTCATAGAAAGTGAAAACAAAGGCAACGTCAAAGACTACTCTGCCTAGACGAGGTACTGTTCCCTTGTAAAACCTGGAAAAAGAGATGAAAGTCTTTTCTGTTAATAAGCCATGATTTGAAAGAACTGGTAGATTTAGTAATCTAACAAAAACCCAGATTTGAATTTCTATCTTGGAAGAGTTGACTCAGACTCTCCTTGGCTTGTATAGCTAGGAGTTTTGTTTTCATGTTACAAAATCTGCAAAAAAATAATACGTACGCTTTCAGTCCTTCATATTTGATAATCCTCATTACACAATCTAAAGTGTTCTTGTACTTGTGTGCATCTAGGCCCTGCAAGAAAGATTTGAGAAAAAAAATATGGATTTTTCTAAAACTAATAATAATAATCAAGATAATTTAGCAAGAGGAGGCGGCGTGGCCGAGTGGTTAGGGTGCTGGACTTGAAAACCAGTGGCCCGGGTTCAAGTCCTCCACCCTGCTACTCATTGGATTTGGTCTCAGTTGCCCCCAGTTCAACTCCTCAGCTGCACTCTGTAAATAGCCCTCTGGTCGCCTCCTGCCAGTGGGGATTTAATAATAATAATAACTGTTTCTTCATAGTATATCCACATAAAAGGTGTGGCTCTTCATCTGTGAAACCTTATGATACTAATATTTAATATTAAAACTAAATTAACTAAATAAATTAAACTAACTAAATTGTAAGAGAAACTATACATGAAAGTAAATATGTAGAATATATTGGTTGGTGGTTGTTTCTATATCTTTACAAGGAAGACAAAGCGCGCGCCTGTAAGAACACCTTGCAGAGCCTGCAGTATTCTTTAAAATCTGTGCAATTCCTTATATTTGCTGGCAATTCATTAAAAGTCATGGCTGCTGAATGCTGAAAGGTGCCTTGTACAAATGGAACATAAAGCCTTAAAGCAACACTGGAATGGAGATGCCTGATGGGTTTAACGACTTGCACATTTAAATGGGAGGGCCAGTTATCAGAATACAGTGCTTTAAAAATAGTCTTTAGTAGCGAGTAGTCCCTTAGCTCCAGGATAGGTAGCCAGCCAAGATCCAAAATGGTAGATATACTGTTTACATATTTACAGGTGATGAAACTAGCCATGGCGAACTGGAGCCTTTGTAGTCTAGCTGAGAGGAACTTTCGTAGTGGATAAAAAACAATGTCACAGTAGCTTATTTTGGACAGAATTAATGTTTCTACCAAATGTTTCGGTAGTTTAAAATTAGTAAAGTTCCTTATTTTTCTTAAGGTTCTCAGAGTCGCATAACAAGATATAAGAATAGAACTGATATGAAATTCCCATTTAAGATTCAAGTCAATGTGTACTCCCAGGGATTTTTAAGCACTTAGTTAAAACTACATTGTGGCTGAAAAGCCCCTATGGGGGAGCCTCAATTAACGTATATTATTATTATTATTATTATTATTATTATTATTACTATTATTATTATTATTATTATCAGAGTAAACGAACTGGATGATCTTTTTCCGGGTTGTTTCCTAAGGGAACAAGTCACAGCCCATGACCAGGGGTCCCTTAGGATTTTCTCTGTACTCTAGGTACCTAACACCTCAAAATCCTCGCTGTTCCCAGTAACGTAGTTTTCTGAAGTGACGGAATACTAATTTTGACGTTCAACTTTCCCAACCACTTGTTCAAGTTTTTTGTTACACTTCCCAATGATCCTACAACGATTGGTATCACCTGCACAGTTCTCATGTTTCACATTCTTACAATTTCTCTTTTATTATCCTGATACTTTTCAACTTTCTCATTCTCCTTTTCACCAATTCTTTTATCTGCTGGTACGGCAATATCAATAATAGTGCACTTTTTTATTTACAACTACAATGTCTGCTCTTCTGGCTTTGATGACATGGTCACACTGTATGTTCACGTCCCAGAGTATTATTATTATTATTATGCAGTATACACGTTTGGATGCTGGTGAGCTAAGCAAGATTGGGCGAAAATTCGTAACCTATCAGCATGACAGGACTGTTCACTATAATAATATCTAATACTACTTAAATATAAATGATCAATATAAAACGATAAAAGTGTCAATTGGCCCAATACTA